TAAGACTTAAGCTAAGGCTTGCCAATGACTTTTTCTTCTTTTTATCATCTCTGTTTTGATAAGGTAATACCTAGCAATTCCCTCAAAACTCTTATGTTTTGCTAGAGGACCGCTGTCCAATTAAAAGCTTCACATTTACATTTGAAAAATGTTCACTTGATTTTTGAGGGAGAATATCACCGAATATCTCTGATATGAGTCTATTGAAAATTTAACATAGATAGAAGACAATTCTACTCAGTGTTGTTGGACAAGAACTTGACAATTTCCATTAATTTTCTTCTCTTTCTTAGTTACAGCTCCAATATATCCTGTGGTATGTTTTTCTAAACAGTATATAACTTTTCAATATCAGCAAAAATACAAGGTTGAAACAAAGGAGGCAGAGAAATTAATTATTTTACTCACTAATTTAACATCATCAAGACTCTCTGTACACCTAAAATCTTACTTTGAACTCAGTGGGAATTACTTGACTAAATAAACTAAAATTGCACTGTGAAAGTGGTCTATTACTTCAATATTTTATTATATGTTTTATACAATGGAATCTGATTTTTGAGAGCCATTTTGATGTAGTGGTTAAGGCATTTGCTAAAATCTGGACACTGTGAGTTCTAGCACCACCTTAGGCACAAAATCAAACTCTCGGGGCCCTAAGAAGGAAGCAATGGCAAACCACTTCTGAAAAATATTCCAAAGAAAACAGCAGGGATTTTTCCAGGAAGCTATGAGAACTGGACACAATTGAACAGAAGAAGAAGAAAAAAGTCAATACTGTACATGTAGTGGCAGACTTTAAAAATGACACCTTTTACTTTAAAATCTTAAAGGTGATTAGAATGTGTGGGGCCTTTGAGATTAGGAAAACACGTAAATAACTAGAAAAGGTAAACATGGAATTGTCATGTTGCTAGAAATAATTCTGTTAGTTAAAGATCTTTTGGGTTTCACCACATGAAAATAAAAGTGGATTACAAATCTAACAGCATAGTTGTAATTTTTAAATAATATATATAACTTGAATATACCATCTGAATAGCCTATATATATAATTTAAAAAATCATAGCCATGTTTGCATACTGTCAGATTTAGCTAGAATGAACTGTTTTAGATTTAGCAGAACTATTTGAACAGTTCCTTGTTTACTACAGATCTTCGGAAAACTTACAGATTTATTGAAATATATTCCATCAAATAGATCTTGAAAGATACTATTTATTTCATTTAATTGTTAAATATATGTCTCCCTTGAAGGAATTTATAGAATTACATGGGTCGAACAACTCTCCAATTTTTCTTTTTACTTAAAGAAAAAATAGGAACAAAAAATTATCAAAACTCTGTAGCTAGATAGTACTCTTTTTGTGTGTGACTTCAAGTAACTTATGACTCCTGGTAACAAGTCCAGACAAACCTTCTACATTCATGGATCGTAAAATAAACCTTTGAGAAATGCGATAATCCAATTCAACTCCCTCCCCATTTTCAACTTTGTTAGCATCTGAATCCATGTTGTTTGGCAAGATGATTATTTCATCCGTATTTATCTATTATTTCCCAGTCTCCCTGTTTAAAGGCCTTTTCATTAAAATCAACACCAAAATATTAAATCAAAATTAAGTATTTTATGTACCCCTTACTAATTTTTAGAACAAATGTATTGGTCAGGCAAATGTATATTTGGAGTCAGTAAATGCATTTAAGGTTTAAGTCACTATTATCAGTTTTCTGAATGTTAATATTCACATGGCTGGCTATCTGTATTATCACCTACACATTTCAATGAAATCTCTTTTTGGCCACCGATTCTATTTATTAATTTTTGGGGGGATCAATTTACTGCCTCAGCCATTTTACACAATCCAATTACTATATAGAACAAAAACAACACTGCTGCAAATATTAATTAATGCAATTTATGTAAAAGCATTACTACACTGCTGGTTCCATGCTGAATGAATTTTCCAAGGTCTCCTGGAAATGTCAGGTTCTTCACAAGCTTCTGGAAGTGCATGAGAATAGGAGTTACCTTCCTCACATATGGCAGACCTATTGGAGAACACCCACCATTCAGACCTTTAAGATTCTCAAGAAACAGCTAAATGTTGGTAAGCAGGGAGAGGGCAGGACTCAGATAGTGACCAGGGTCTGGCTAGCTAACAAGCAGGGAGCATGGGGAGGCTGCCATTGAGTTGTCAAGAGGGTTTGGCCTGGCCAGCTGAACCTGATGAACAGGAAGAGACAAAAGGCTCAGGAGCAAGTAGGCCCAGTCTGCTAAATCTGAGAAGGCTGCTATTGACCCCCTAGTAGACCACAGTTTGGGAATTGTTGGCCTGACATGTTGAATTTTAACCCAAGTACTGATCCCCTCGCTTCCTTTGAAATCAGTTGTGATTATATTCCATCAAATATTTTCAAGGAGATACTGATTAAATGCCAATAATTGCCTGGTCCCAGTTCAGCAACTTCTTGAATATTAGCCATTAATAACAGTATTGCTTTGTGCCTATTAGTGGGAATTGTTTTCCATCATTTCTGAGGAACAGTAGAAAAAAATAAGCATATACTGTATGCCAGTTTGCAGCAAAAATTTATACTGGATTACTGACAGACACTGTACTAAAGATAGATCATTCAAATGCAGCATGAGTAGAACAGATTACTGGAACCTAAAACTATAATCCTATTAAATAGCTGTGCTTCGAACAGCTATCTTGCAACAAAGCCATTTGTTCCTCTTAAAGTTTTTAATCAGAGGGTTTGTCTTTCAGAAAAGTTCCACACTTGTAGCTTCTTTGTTTTAATTTAAAAAATGTTACAAGGCACATGAACTCTACTCCAGCTTCTTTATCAAGCTTAATAAAGAATTAACATTTCCATAATTAAAGCCATGATTTAAAAGGCTTTTATTACTTCAGGCATGAATACAGTACATGTCAGTTTCTGGGCAGAGTGATTACTAGTAACAGGTGGATTTTCCATTCCTTAGCCTATTTTAAACATTAAAGTTGTATGTGCGGGCATTAGTATTTCATCCCAGTTTAGCCATTCTCTCTTGCAAATTCCATGGGATCTTTTCAAAATTATTTTAAATAACCCCTTTAACCCTATTTTAAATCTTTTGCTGCTTGCTTTGATCACATTTGCTGCCCTGAGTGTGAGGCAGGTTAGGGATATAAAATACTAAATGAGCCATACAACAGTTGGCAAAGTTCTGCAGTGCAAAGAACAGATGGAGAAGCTCAGGAATTGAAGGTATTCAGAAGTCTTACGGCTGGCCTCGTGGTTACATTTTTTTTGTCTCAGGTGTACAATCTCCATACTAACCTGGATTATAGCTGCATGTAAATCGGTTTGCAAAAATATGCCTGAGGTCAACATGCTAAACTCGAGTTTTCATCTTCTGCTGATCCGATTAGGAGTCATGATTGCAGGCCGTTTCTGAATGTGTCAATCGCTCTGCCCTCCTCTGCACTCTTTACTTGTTGTTCAGTAGGATTCCTATTGCAATGTTGTGCAATGGGATTGATCGGTGGCTGTATTGGTAATTCCCTGGTTCGTTTTGACCCCCTTTATCGTCCATGAATGGATAAACGGGGTTACAAAACAATGCAGGGTTGTTTGAAAGGAATTGACGATATGGAAAAACTGTTCTTAGCTTTAATAAAACTGTAGCTGCAAGAAAATTTGAGGATTGCTCCGGCAATATTTTGCTCCCAGTGCCGCAAGCCGGTGTTGTGGAAGAAATTCGAACAATTTCTGCTCTGAAAGCGATTTTTTTTTCCCGGCGGGAAAAACATTTGAGTTACACTTCTGCTTGCGAAATGGTTTTTTTTGTTTTTTTTTAAGTCGAGGGTGCCAAGAGGGTTTAAACTTTATGCAAGACAGCCCTGGAGTGCGGATAGTTTGAAAAGTGTATCGTTCTTATTTTATTATAGATAGCATCTGTCGAGTTTGTGCCAATTCTCCACCCCAAGCGAATAAGGACGGGAACGAGCAAGTAAGCAAGCAAATAATTGCTGCCGTTGTTTGCCAACAAATCACTTGCGTGGGTGCTCTTCTCAAAAAAAGCCCCGACTCTGGAGTTTCCCCTGTTGGAAAAATTCTTGGCAAGCACCTCGTGACATCTTATTAATATTACCGAAAGCGTTAGCAGACAGGAAGCAGATGCAGCAAGCTTAATGCTTGAACGCTATCCGATGACTCGGATAAGAGTCGTCTTCTCTCTCAAATTCTGGAAAGTCTTAGATTGAGTCTTAACGTGCCTTGCCGCCAGTTCCAATAAATGTGAGAAGAAATTCCCATTCCCGCCTTTTTTTTTTTTTAACTTTTACAGACGTTTAACTGCGGGGTCAGGAAAAAGCTTGCTTTTAAAGGACTTTTTGCTTGGGGTGAAGGCATTTCCGCGATCTATTGGTGGGGGGGGGGAGCGGGTAGATTCAGCCAGAATTTGTTGGTATCAGGATTCCAGTTAAATGTACGGGGAAGTTTTCGGAAAGTCATTGCTGCGGGACCGATTGCTTCCTCCCCCCGTCCCCATCGGAAGATGGCTGTGCTGGTTCATACCTGCGGTAGATTCTTTTCTCCCTTGAGCTGCGTTTTCTGTTCTGTGTGTTGGAGGAAAGGGTCCCATACACGGAAGGACTTACTCCCCCCACAAATCTAATCTTTTACTGTGCTGTGAACTTAACACTGATCTGCGTCTCCCCACCCCGCCTTCTTTACGCACTACTGTATAGGAGTGTGTCCCCCCCCCCCCCCCCGGAGATAAGTGTGACTTCGTTGTGGTCAGAGCTATTCAGCTAAGGTGCAAGGATGACTGTATGTTGCCACCCAATCCTCATTCTTTGCCCCTGGATCTCCGCGTTTATCCCTCGAGATTTATGCAACTGGGCGGGAGGCGCTGGATTACCCGGCGCCCTTTGGCTTCGGGAGATAAGCGCTACAAGGAGGCGAGAGCTCAGGACCTCGCGCTCCCCTTTGGCGGGAAGCGACGATGGTGCTTCTGTCCGGGGTTAGGAAAGAGGGCCGAGAAAGCCGGAGCCCCACCGCGGAGAAGCAACTGCAAGCAGGGTCGCTCGGAGTGCCGGGAGCCGAGAGTGGAAGGAGTCCCGACGGTAGCGGCAGGATTGAGCCAACCATCCCCGCAGAGCGAGCGCGCAGGGAGAGCCAAGGCGAAGAGGAGGAGGAGGAGGAGGAGGAATGGGACGATAAGGAGCAGGACGAGGAGTATGAAGACTTCTCGGATCTCCCGGACACACGAAGCATCGCTTCAGACGACTCCTTCTACCCGCCCCAAGAGACCGACGACGTGGACGAATTGGAACTTTCCGACAGCAAGCAGCAGCTCAGTCTCTTCCGCGCTTGCTGTACCAACAACGCCGCCGTCGTGTGGGCTCTCATCCGGCAGGGGCTCCAAGAGGAGGACGTGAGGGAGACGGACCGCAACAAGCGGGTGAGGGCGCAGCGCCTAGCACTGCCGGGCCTGGGCGAGGGGGGAAAAGGAAAACAAACGGGTGCGGTGCTCAGGAGAGCAGGTTCATTCCCCTCCATTGATCCCCTTGTTGCCCCACACTCTTAATGTAATATAAGCCTCGAGCGTGTGAGCCACCCGAGAAGAATTAGCGATTGCTTTCTTCTTTTCCTCCCCCCTTCTTTTTTGCTCCGAGGCTAATTGGCTGCAATTAAAAAACATCACATACTAACAACTTTTTTTCTACAAATCCTTAACTCCCTGATCCCTCCTTGTAGTATATAAGTAGCCCTCGACTTGTAACAATTAGCTAGTGACCATTTAAAGTTACAGTACTGAAAAAAGATGATTTATGACCAGTTTTCACACTTAATGACTGTTGCAGCATCCCTGTGAACACAGATTAAAATTTGGACACTTGGCAGCTGGTTCATATTTATGAAAGTTGCAGTGTCCTGGAGTCATGTGGTCACCTTTTGCAATCTTCTGACAAGCAAAGTCATTGGGAAACCAGATTCACTTAACTGCAATGATTCATTTAGCAACTGTGGCAAGAAAGGTCATAAAATGGGACAAAACTCACTTAACTTGGTTAGCAATGGAAATGTTGGCCTCAGATGTGGTCGTAAGTCAAGCACTACCAGTACAACCCCTAGACTGCTTTTTCCTGGCCATTTATTTTATTGGTCCACTCCTCAAAAGCCTCTTTCATGTATTACAAGAACTGAAATAGATGAAATCATAACCAATAGCCCCTTCAGCTCCCCCTTTCCTGTATTGCATGCAGACAACTGCCTCTTCATATTTGCAGATTAATATAATATATAATACATAGAATTGTGAGTGAATTCATACAGTCGCCCAGAAATAATTCTGGGTCTTGTGAAAACAGAACAGATGAAAAGAAGTTAATCCATCCAAAAGGAAGGAGGCCAAATTCTCTATTAGGTCGGGCAACACAAAAAATTAAAAGCAAGCATATTTGAACATTATAGCATAGATAAGAATAGTCTATGATTCATCGTACAATAGTTGCTGAAATTATTTTGGTGCTGTGTTTCAACTTCCTTCAATACAGGTAATCCTCGATTTACAAACACAATTGAGCCCAAAATTTATGTTAAGTGAATCTGGCTTCCCAATTGACTTTGCTTGTCAGAAGATCACAAAAGGGATCACATGACCTTGGGACATAGCAACGGTCATATAAATATGAACTAGTTGCCAAGTATCTGAATTTTTATCAAATGATCATGCAAAGATAACTGAAAAACTGTCATCAGTCAAAGTTTTAATGCAGTTGTAACTTTGATCACTAAAAGTGTTGTAAATTGATGATTATCTTTACTATTCTCAGTTTTCGGATTTTCTTACGAGTTCATCTCAATGATTCCAGTCTAGCCTCCCGACAGAAGTTTTACAAAAATAGAAGTGAAGATATTCATCTGTTTTGTTCAAGATACGGAAATCCAAGACAGGAAGATGTGATCCATCTCCTTTTAATGAAAACACCTGTTTCTCTATTCCACTCTGTTCTATCCATTGACAACCTTTTTAGCGCGCCCACTCATTCTCAACATGTTGACAGAATAATATTCTTTGCCAGGAATCAGTCCACGTAAACAAGCGAAGCCCCATCCATGGGATGCAGGCAGCACACAAAACCACCACCACCACCCCGGTCCATGGAAAAATTTCTCTCCACGAAACTAGTCTCTGATGCCCAGAAGGTTGGGAGCCACTGCTCTAGTGCCTGTCAGTCAGAAGTAGCACAAGTTGATTGTTAGTGTTCTCCATGTTTCAAGTTAGACAAAAACAAACATTGATACAGTCTAGCTTTCTATTTTTTTGGAGGGACTTTAGATTTGGAACCCTACCATTAAACCTTTCTATAGAAGAACCATGTATTTCATCTGCCCTTCAGTTCAGATTTCTCTTTGTCCCCTTGTTTACACTCTATTTTTCTTCTTTGCCTTAGGATTCTCTGTCTTTTCTGTATCTTCCCAATCTTTAGCTCCCTTCCATGTGGCTCTGCTTCCGATCTGATTGGTTACACTTTTTGCCGGTTTGTTGAAAACCATTCAGCTTCCTGAGCAAGTGAATTCCATTCTACCACATCACATCAACTAAGCTAATCAATTTAAGAGGCTTTATTATAACAGCAGTACAATATAAATGCAGCAGGATGCCCTGCATAGTGATTTTTACTCTCATAATTTTCATGTATTCTGCTCATGCTGGTAAATTACCAGTTATCATCCAATGATGCTGAAACAGCTTCTGCTATGACAGTAATATATCGAGATGTTTTCCGATGTGTACATTCAAAGCACAGAAGCCATCAATAAAATTGGTCTCTTTAAAGTCATTTTTTGCTAACTCTTCTTACATTTCGAACAAACGCTGCCTTCTCATTTTCTGAAGGTTTGTATTTTGGGAGTCAAGGCTTCGAATAAGTGAGAAGACATCTTGTTCATTTTGAGGTATTTTCAATGGAAAGATCCTGAACTTTATCTTGCCTTTCTTTTTCTTGCATTTTGAAACCATGTATTCCCTTCACAATTACTCAATCTTTTTTCCTTACAGCGAACTCTTTGTAGATTCTAAAATACAAATATGTTTTTAATGCTAATGTTAACATCCTTGCAGTTTGACAATGCTGTCTCCATTATGTGAAGCATAGCTGTCTAGCAGGACTAAGATATGACAGAGGCTATTTCCCACATTTATTAAATGTTCGAAATTACAGCGGACACCAAAAGCAAGTTAAGCCCAGTCCCAAAGTAACAGCTGCTACAGTGCCCCCATGATCATTCGCCCTTACCACCGACCACAGATATACTGCAGCGCCCCCTGCTTCTGTTTGTCCCCAGGTCCCTGTAACCATTCCCTTCCCAAAATTGCTCCCTGCTGGCCTTAGTCCTGATTCCTATTCCACCAGGCCCCACACACTCTTGCTCGCTGATCTCATTAAGGCAGCAAAATAGAGCAGTTTGTCTCGCAGCCACCATTTTGACCCTGCCCACAAGTGGGTAGGGGTGAAATGGCAGCTGCTTCTGAGTCACCATTGTGCAATCCTGGGACAAGCTGCTCCATTACGTTTTAAGTGGAGAAATGCTGATGCAGATTAACTCCCAAATAGCAACCATTGCTTCTAGGGTACATTGGAAATAAATATTTTATCACACTAGGATCAATATTTCCATTCATATTTGACAATATACAATTCTGTAATGATTTTAGTAACCCCCCCCCCCCCCAAAAAAAAAAACCAAAACCAATTTGGGCTATAAACAAATAGATGAGGTACTTCATGTATGTGTGGGATCATATATCAAATTGTTAACTTCGGGCTCATATATTAAATTGTTACGCCATTCATCTGAAATTTTATTGTTTTTAAACTGGACTTTTAGGTTTCCTGACTGATTGGTAATAGAGAAGAAAATTTATAAAGAAATATAGGAAACATGCTGTTATATTCTACTTTTTTCAGCAAGGATTCAGTCACAAAGAAGGCCACTATAATAGCTACCCAATCATTGCCATTCTTCACATTGTTAAAATTCTTTTTATACAACCATAATTACAAAGGAAGTTGTATAGGTTGGTAGGTGGGTGAGTGGATGAATGAATTGATAGAGATATATAATTCCAGTCATTGTTTATATGTCTTTCTTATATAACTATGATTGTGTAACTATAACTATTATAAGTATATAAATGGTTACTTCATTCTACATATAATATAGCCTCCGATCTTGTAAATGTGCCTATAATGCATTGCTATCAAACCAGATCACTGTGCTCTGGATCATTATTGTTATTTAAATAGCCAGCAGAGAAATGGATCTCATTTTCTCCATAATACAATTAACCTCCACAAATAATTGTTTTTCTGTAACCAAACATCAAGCCATGTGGGCAGAAGGAGTACCTGAAGATCTTGAACCCTATTTTTGCCAGTAGAGAGGATTGCAAATCTTTGTGAGTTGCATTTTTACTAAGATGCCTTTTGTAAGAATTTGTTAGCTCTTGCCTGTAATAAAGTGTTATTGCTTAGTTTATTTTAAACCACATAATGATTTTTAGGACTTATGATGCATAAATTTACAAAAGTTCACAGAAGTGAATAAACCTTAAAGATTATGGAATATCTTTCTAAACTCTGAATGGTGAAAGCAGGCATTTGACAAGTTCTTTCTGTGTTACAACATGACTGTTTTAAAACTTATACATCCAAACTTACCTAATAAAGTTTTGACTATTCTAACATTGATTTCTAGCTTCCACTTTCTAGAAAAGTTTCAATCTAGATGCTTTATAGAGATGCTGAATTTTCCATTTTGTGTAGGCCCATATAGTTGAAATAATGCATGATCAGTTGAATGAATATATTGTAGAAATACCCTGACATCTGTGAGATCTTCTTGTAGTTACATTCAAGTATTCCTTTCTCATTCCTTTGTCAGCTGGATATGAAAAAAAGATTCTTATACTGAGTTTCTCTCTGGAGAGTTAGTATAACCATACCCTAGCTGTTACAGCATCTGGTACTTTTGTTAAATTTTTAAAGCGGAAAGATGAAAAACTAACAGAAACTAATAATGGAGAAAAAATGAGTAAAGAAAGAAAGAGAACAAAGACAAAAGTGCAGAAAGAAAAGAAAGAAAAAAAACCATAAAGAAATGGCTTCTGATTTTCCTTTACAACAGTTATAAGCATAAATTTAAATTAACCTCTTACTCTAAGGCTACAACATAACTTTTCCATTTTTCTCTTATTTATTTTGTCTAATCATCAAATCCATAGCAGGGGTGAAATTCAACCCTCCTCGGCTCGGCTCAAGAGAGGTGGTAGGGATGATTTGAATTAGTAAAAAATCACCCCGGTTGCTTTTACTATTATACCAAGCCATGCTCACAGAGCCGGTAGGGAAAATTTTTGAATTTCATCCCTGATCCATAGTATATCATAATTGT